TTGAACCCAGGAGGCAGAGATTGCAGTGAGCTGATATCATGCCACCACACTGAAGCCTGGGTGACAAGAGCGAGACTCAGACTCAAAAACAAACAAAAAAGTGAACAGGCAGATACCTAGATGATCACTGTTCTAATATGATGAATGTGAGACTGTTACAGATGAAACAGAGTGGATGACAGAACCAAATGGATGGACCACGTGCTAAAATGGTCCTTCCCAACAGGTTCTTGAGGATGCTGCTGGACAAGATTTAGAGAAATCTGCCAAGTCCTGAATTGGCTGCCTCAAAAAACAACATCTTGCAACTTACAAGTCCAGGGAAAATGTATTCTTGGTGTGTCTATAATAGAAGAAAACAGAAACACTGTGTAGGTAACAGAAATACTGCAATGGGCTCACTGGAATATAACTGTTACTATTGCCATGACCAGCCTCATTGAGCCATCCAACCTTTGATTATAATACCCTTTTGATTATAATACCCTTCTAATTATAATTTTGCTTCCTATATATCACAGAAACGATATGCTTTCCACACAGTCTGTCTATATGGAAAAATGTACTGATCACATGGAATCTGTTCACAGCATCAGTGAATTCTAATAGAAATTTTAAAGAATAGTTTCCCTTTGTGATTGAATTTCTAGTTATTAAACAGAAAGGAACTAATTGTGTAGTCATTAATTATTAGTTGTGTACTAAATTGTGTAGTCATATCTTGTATGGTAACTCTTCTTTTAACACAATAGACATTCTAGTAATTTATATATGTATATATATATATATATATCTTTAAGTTATATATATGAACATATACAATAAAACACCCATATGTCCATATATGTGCTTATAAAGAAGATGTATGCAAAATCTTGTCCTTTGTATAAGAATAACTAAGATAAATGAGATCACCTGTCTTAGCATTTGGTGTCCTCAGAGCCATTCCCATCATCACAGTTGCTTACCCAGGACTAGTCTCAATTAAATCATCTGGCACCACACCCACTGTTTTCAAGAACTTCCCAGTACTGACCTCAGCTGCTTCCACAAAACTGACTCATTTCCCACTCAATATAGCTCTGATTTTGATGGTGGCCCAATATGGCTGTCAGTCTGACCTGAAGTCCATCAGCCTAGAATCTCATCCAGGCTCTACTACTAAAGAGAGAACGATTTGCATAGCTCTAAAAACAATACTTTCTGCTTTAATGACCTCTATCCTGCATTCCTCTGTAACTCCATGTTATCCTGCCCCTTAAATGTACAATGTATTTGGCAACTTATTTTCCACCTACATACTCGCTCCCTCAAATTCCTCATCTGTAAAGCAAGTTTCAAAAATTAAAAAGATAATGTTAGAGGCTGGGTGCGGTGGCTCATGGCTGTAATCTCAGCATTTTGGGAGACCAAGGCCGGCGAATCACCTGAAGTTAGAAGTTTGAGAACAGCATGGCCAACATGGCGAAACCCCGTCTCTGCTAAAAATACAAAAATTAGCCAGGAGTGGTGGTGGACACACCTGTAATCCCAATTGCTTGGGAGGCTGAGGCAGAAGAATTGCTTGAACCCAGGAGGTGGAGGTGGCAGTGAGCTGAGATCATGCCATCACACTCCAGCCTGGGCGACACAGCAAGTCTCAATCACACACACACACACACACACACACACACATACACAAATGTTAGAAAGGAAGGACAGTTCTACACATAGTATGTGAAAATATTTAAATTCCTTTCTTCCCAGGAGTGGATACTTTTATCAGTTTCATATCTCCCTAATACACTCTTTAAACTGCAGAAAGAACACATTCACGCTATCTCTCCAAGTCAACAGATAAATCCCATACGTCTTTGTTTAGGAGGTTAGCCTTGTCAGGCCAATAATCTTTGTCATTCTCACTCTTCAAACACAATTGCACTGACATGTGGGGCAGCTGACTACATTTTGGAGAGGTTAAATGAAATTATGAAAGCAGAAGCTTTGGTCTTGTGGCCTGCAGTGTGCCTGATGAATACAACTGATAGTGCTCTGCTTCAATATGTGTGGTCTTTTTTCCGAAGAAATCAGTTATTTAAACATGTCTTTGTTAAGCATGTTGAACCTCCAGAAGCGCTATATTAAAAAATGTGTTTTGTGCTGCATTAAATGAATTTCTGAGCGTAAAAAATGTCTTCTCATGTAAAAATTTGTCATAACGTCATATGAGGTAAGACAATGGGATCCGGTTTAATATAATTTTTTCTCCTACAAACATATTTACTCTCCTACAAACTTAAAAAATACAATTTTTAAACTATTATGGCTTTTTGGGTAAATGTAACCTTTAAAGAACATAGTTGCATGTTTATTCACATTGGTGCTATTATGGAACCACCTGAAAAACTGTATCGATTTTTTTAATTCCATAATTACAACCTTACAAGCTTATAGCTCCTTAGGAACCATTAGAGACTACCAAGTGAATAATAGACACATTGAAGAGCCCCTGGTTGCACTGTCCAACAATCATCACGTATGCAAAAAAAAAAGAATATCTAAATCACAGACTTGTTTTATATGATGAGGTCCTAGGGGCATAGGGTTTCTTATTTTAGGGAACATGATGAGCTACAGGGATTCCATAAAGGCCTGACACTGTATGTAAAAATGTGATAGGCATTTTTCTGGACAGAGGTTTCATAGCTTTCCCAGACTGTTAAAGTAGTTCATTATACTTCTCTATCAAAATAAATAAAAGATTAAGAGTATTATACTTCAACTAGGAGGAACAAAAATATTAGAAAAAAGAATAAACAATTAAATGAAGATTTGATTATTATAGTCAGAAAAGGAGAATTAGCAACCCCAGCGCGTCTTGTTTAATGTTGTTGTTTGTTGTTTGTATGCTTTTGGTGCCAGAAATCAGTCAGAAAGCTATTTTTATTGTCTATGTGATGAAATTGATTTAATTCGGGGAGGAAGATATTATAAGACACAAGCAATTCTCAAACTTGAGTAGGCTCAACCACCTGGGGGATTGTTATAGTACAGAGGCTGGCTCCAGCTCCCACAGATTCTGTAGGGCTGTGGTAGAGTCCGAAATCTGAATGTTTAACAAGCTCATGGGGCGTTACAGATATAGGTAGTCAACAGAACCCCTGGTGAGAAACACTTCATCCCTTTCAATCCATTAAGAATTTATCTTTAAATGTTTGTTGTAATTTGTAAACTAAATAACCCTGAGGCAAGATTCTGTTTATTGGCATTTTTTCCAAAAAGCAACAACTAAAGCTCTTACCAACTTTATGATATAGAGTAAATCCAAAAAAAGAGAAACACTTAGATGCCAATGGCTACTTTTAATAATTTTAGTACATCAGATGACAGTCTCAAAAGCCATTTTATTAGCTTCTGTTCACTAAAACAGGAATAAGTAGAAACCAAATAATCACAAAGTTAGATTACAAATACTACGAAACTGAGGGTTAAATATAAAAACAATTTATTTTATATTCTGAGACTGCTTCTCAATTTAACAATAACATTTTTAACATTTCTATAATGTCAGAGTTTTAGGATCAAAAAGCTGTCAGGAAAGTTATGAGACTTCTAGTTAATTCTCAAACATTGATTAGTTCTACATGTCTGGGAGGAAAAAAAGGAAGGGGTTTATTGCAAGGTCTGAAATAAATAGGCCATATAAATTTGACAGCTCATTATGATAAGTGAAAAAGTAAAAAATCCAAAGAAATCAAGGATATAGGCAACATCTTAACCATTGTTCCCAATTTGGTGTTTTTAATTTGAAACTATAAAATCTTGTAAGATATTGTGGGAGGGTACAGTGCTTTTAATTGTAAAACTTCAAAATGCTATTACACTGATAATTGCTAAAACTGCATTTATACCCTGCAGGGTACAAGTAATAAGGCCAACCTAGTATTCCTCAAAACATAGCCATCATTTTAATAGTTCTACCACACGTCTAAGCAATGCAATTAATTCTCTGGCATTTATGCAAGTTTTCTACGGTGAATCCATGTGAACTCAGACATCGTGAGACAATTTTTAGATGCGGGATACACAAATAGCCTTGTCACTCAGGAACTGCATCCTTAATGCAAAAACACCAGCATATCTGTCTCATTTCCATTATCCCCAGACATGGCATGTGCAGCACATAAGGGTGGCTGACAGAAAACTGTAGTAACTGTGGCTGGTCTATAATAGTCTGGTAACAAAGCTGGGTGGTGAATGTGGTGCTCTGACAAGTATGGAGACACTCAACCACAAAAGATCAGTGCTAGATAATATCCCTTTACACACATCACTTCTGGGTCAATTTGTAATAATCAAGTCTTCTTAAAATGACATTCATATAAAAATACTAGTTGAAGTTTTTGCTATTTAAATTAGCTTCCAGAATCAGTGGGAAATATGATATAATGTTGGCAGTATTTTTTATGTGCCACCCAGGTTCTAAATGTCATACTTAAAACATCCAAGAATATTTTTCACTGTTTGCCTCAGTCATATGTATTGCAACAGAAGGATAATAATATTTGTTCACAATATTTTAATTTCTAAAAATTAGAGATGAGATCCTATTTGAAAATTTCATAAATTTGACAAATTTAAAACCCATGACAATGAAGTGATTTCCAACAATTCAAATTTCATATGTTAAATTTGTTTATGTAAAGGAATACAGTTATACTACTTTCTTGTATACTATTTTATCATTATTCAAACTCATAGCTACCCAACTGACTTTGACATTAGGATATGATGATATTCTGGACACAGTAGAGGTCTGAATTCTGCTTCAAAGACAGGGAAGAGAATGATTTTGTTTCAGTGATAAGGCCAGGAGAAAAAGAAGAGTCAGTGGTGTCCTGTCTCAGCCAAGGAAAGACCCAGAAGATCAAAGTTCCTTTAGATCCACCTCAGTGTTCAGCATTCTTCTAGGAAAGACCTCAAGACCTAATTAAATTAATGACCTTCTGATTCTATTACAGAAAAGTTCAGTGAGGGCACGCATCCTCCAGACTACAGAGCTTCGCCCTCCTGCTTGGGCCTTCAGCTCTTCTCAATTAAGATCAAGGCCCTTGCACAAGTTACATACGTACTCTGAGGCATAATACCCACATTACAGATCAGGTAATGTAAATGTGGATATTGATGAGTACTTTGCAAGGTTGCTTGGAAGATAAAATGTGATAATGTATGTGAAGCATTTGGTACAGCACCTGGCATATAAAAAGTACTTAAGTGTAGCATTAAGTATTGTATTATTTAACTAATAATTAAAGCTGTTAATGTTTTAATACCCATAATAAGTTTGATTCATGGAAAATCTCCATTTCCAGCAAACAGTCAAACATTATCGTGGTGACATTTTTCCTCTACAGATAAGATAAAGCCAGACAACTTGGCATGCGGCATATGTTCTAAAATTGTATAAGCTACCAAAGGCAATGGAAAAGCAGATGAGAGCATTTTAAAAATTAAAATGTCTTTTGATTGCTTTGCGTTATGTCCTGTGTTGAAGAGAGAACTGTCAGAATTAGTATCTTTATAAATGATGGATTTGTACAGCACAGAAAAGGCATAACAAAGTATATTTCAAATTTTGTTTTGAAAGCACCAATTCCCACACATCTTTGAAATTAAATTTCCCTCATGGTTCATCTTGATACCATTTACCCTGTTCTAAAAGGAAAATGTAAATAAGAAAAAAAAGTTTATCAGCCGGGCACAGTGGCTCACACCTGTAATCCCAGCACTTTGGGAGGCAGAGGCCGGTGGATCACCTGAGGTCAGGAGTTCAAGACCAGCCTTACCAACAGGGTGAAACCCCATCTCTACTAAAAATACAAAATTAGCCAGGCATGGTGGCATGCACCTAACGTCTCAGCTACTCAGGAGGCTGAGGCAGGAGAATCGCATGAACCCGGGAGGCAGAGGTTGCAGTGAGCTGAGATAGCGCCATTTCATTCCAGCTTGGGCAACAAGAGTGAAACTCCATCTCAAAAAAAGGAAATTTATCTTTTATCTTTTATAATTTCATTCGAATGTACACTGCAGATAAACATTAGAAATCACATAAACAAATTATTTTGCTATTTTGATTTTTGTATACTGAATATTCTCCTTTTTGTCATTACTCCATGTACCTGAATTTCACTTGTATTTCTTTCTTCTTTTTTCATAAATACAATGAAAAGGCTAGTGTTTCTATCACAGTGCTTTGTTTCTGCTTAGCTGATAATGCAACAACTAAGATTTCATTATAACATAATAAATGTTTTTAGAATGAATGAATGAAATGTCAGGTCTAATTCTCTGCTTTCTTTTTTATTAATATTAAATTTCCCATAGCTTTTTTCTGTCTACTTGGACCGCAGGCTGAAGAGACCATTGAATTTTTCTATTGCATATTTGTGAATTATGTATAAAAAATGCATTGCACTTTACAGAACTTTGGCATTTAGCCACTTACACTGAGTAAGCTTCAGGTGAAAGAAGAAATATGGTTTTACTTAGTGGTAATTACCAAATTTCTACTGTCATAATACAAGTCATTTTTTCCCCAAGATAAAGCTAAACAGTTAGAGGAAACTGATCCAAAAAAAGATTCTTGCCCTTCACATTAAAACATATAACTGGATGTCTGCATGCTGTACTCTGTGGTATACAGTATCAAGACATGAGGACAATAAATTAATCATAGTGCTTATTTAGGAAACATCAACGATGATACTCAACATGATGATAATGATACATTAGTCTACAGAATGTTTGGGGATATCACAGTAGCATCTCTAAAAGATGGTACAACATTTAGAAAAATTTAATTAATGCCACATAATAGCAAATATTTGAATTATTCTTCTCTTGAATCCAATGACTTACATGGAGCACCACATCTAATCTCCACAACAAAATCTCTCTTGGGGTTTTCTGTAACAATGTGAATGTATAGTAAAGTCCTGGAAAAGAAAAGAAGAATTTGATTTCCACACATAAGTAGGATTATATGGTATCTATCTTTCTGTGCCTGACATATTTCACTTAATATAATGTTCTCCACGTTCAACTATGTTGTCTCAAATGAGAGGATTTCCTTTTCTTTTTTAAAGGCTGAATAGTATTTTCCACATTTTCTTTATCCATTCATTGTCCATTGATGAGCATTTAGGTTAATTCCCCATTATGGCTCTTGTGAATAATGCTGCAATGAACACAGGAGTGCAGATATCTTTCCAACATGTTGATTTCATTTCCTCTGAATGTATACTCAGTAGGGGGATTGCTGGATCATACAGTAGTTAAAGAGTAAAATGAAGAGTAGGGAGATTGGGAAGATGTTAGCTGAAGGATGCAAAATTTCAGTTGAACAGGAAGAAAAAATTCAAGAGATCTATTGTATATCAAAGGTAAAACAGTCAATAGTAATATACTGTATACTTAAAATTTGCTAAAAGAGTAGATTTTAAGTGTTCATCACAAAAAAATAAGTTCGTGAAGTATTGCATATGTTAATTAACTTGATTTAGCCATTCTACAATGTATGCATATATCAAAAGATCTTGCCGTCACTTCAATAAGTGGTGTTGGGACTGCTGGATGTCCACATGCAGAAAAATGAAATTAGGCCCTTATATCATACCAATGGACAAAAGGCAACTCAAAATGAGTTAAAAACTTAAGTATAAGGCCTGAAACTAAAACTTCTGGAAGAAAACATATAGTGAAAGCTTCATGACACTGTTCTGGGCAATACTTTTTTGGATATGACCCCAAAAGCATAGGCAACAACAGTATAAACAGACAAATGGATTAATGATTTTGAAAAACTCTGCACAGCAAAAAAAAAAAAAACTCAACAGATTGACGTGACAGTCTATGGAACAGGAGAAAATATTGGCAAGCCATACATCTGATAATCAATTAATGTCCAAAATAAATAAGATTCTCAAAGTACTCTATAGTTAAGACTTAAAAATGGGCAAAGGCTTGAACAGACATTTCTCAAATGACAAAGTATATGGCCAACAAGTATATATATATTTTAAAAAGCTCAACATCACTAATCATCAGAGAAATAAAAAAGATGAAAATAACAAGTCTTGGTGAGAATGTGGAGACAAGGAAATGTTTGTAAATTGTTGGTATTGCAAATTAGTAAGGCTATTATGAAAAACAGTACAAAAGTTCCTCAAAAAATTAAAGACAGCTGGGCGCGGTGGCTCACGCCTGTAATCCCAGCACTTTGGGAGGCTGAGGTGGGAGGATCACCTGAGGTCAGGAGCTCAAGACCAGCCTGGCCAACATGATGAAACCCTGTCTCTACTAAAAATATAAAAATTAGCCAAATGTGGTGTCACATGCCGGTAATCCCAGCTACTCAAAAGGCTGAAGCAGGAAGATCAAGTGATCTTGGAACCAGAAGTTGTAGCGAGCTGAGATTGTGCCACTGCACTCCAGCTTAGGCAACAGAGCAAGACTGTGTCTCTCAAAAAAAAAAAAAAAAAAAAAATAGAACCCCCCATATGATCCAGCACTCCCCCTACTACCTATATATCCAAAGGAAATGAAATCAATATATTGAAGAGACATTTGCACTTCCATGTTCACTGCAGCACTATTCAAAATAGCTATGATATGGAATGAACAAAGTGTCTATCAATGGTTGATGACTGGATAAAGAAAATGTGGGCCAGGCATGATGGCTCATGCCTGTAATCCCAGCACTTTGGGAGGCTGAGATGTGTGGATCACAAGGTCAAGAGATGGAGACCATCCTGTCCAACATGGTGAAACCCATATCTACTAAAAATACAAAACTTAGCTAGGTGTGGTGGTACATGCTTATAGTCCCAGCTACTCAGGACGCTGAGGCAGGAGACCCTCTTGAAACTGGGAGGCAGAGGCTACAGTAAGCCAAGGTCACATCACTACATTCCAGCCTGGTGACAGAGTAAGACTCCGTAAAAAAATTTTTTTAAATTTAATTTTTTTAAAAAAGTGGTATCTATACACAATAGAGTACACTTCGGTCTTATAAAGAAATCCTATCATTTACAACTACATAGATGTACCTGGAGAACATTATGTTAAGTGAAATAAGCCAGACACAGAAAAAACAAATGCCACATGATCTCACTCATATATGGAATCTAAAAAGTTGAATTCATAGAAATAGAGAGTAAATTGGTAGTTACCAAGGGCTCAGGAGATGTTGGTCTAAGACAAGAAATTTCATTATGAGGAATAACTTCAAGAAATCTATTGTACAACATGGTGAGTATAGTTAATAACAATGTATGTCTTGAAAATTGATGAGACAATAGATTTTGTGTTCTCACCACAAAAAAAATGATAAGCATGTGAAGTAATGCATATGTTAATTCACTCAGTTTAGCTACGGCATATTTCAAAATAAGTTGTACCTGATAAATAAATGCAATGTTTGTCAATTAAAAATACATTAAAATAAAATTACAAAATGAAACGAAGTTAGAAGTGAACTCCAGGAAAGGAGAGCTTCTACTAAATTAGCCTAATAAGCACAAAAAGATTGTTTCCACAAGAACATAGATACAATGTCCTTTGATTACTCATTGCCTCAATTCAAACTGCTTCTCTCTGTTGGTAACATTGACAGGTAGAACCACCACTAACCCTTAGCTTGGGGGAAAAAAGACATTTCAGCAGCTTGCAGGTGTCATCAGCAGTTGTCTTCTGGTCTTTCCCAGTTAGGTGGGAAAGTGTGATTTAGTCCCTCCTACCCTGAGGTATCTCGGGTCAGCCCCTGTATAACAGCTATTTTGGGTTTCTCCCATCATTGCTCTTTGAGCTTAGGAGAATGTTCTGTAATGAGCACCAGGAGAGAGACCTGATGATATCCCAAAGGATTATCAGTGCACATGCTCTACAGATAGAAACATTAAAAAAAAAAAAAAAAAAAAAAGCAACTCGGCAGGGGGCTCTCACCTATAATCCCAGAATTTTGGGAGGCTGAGGCAGGAGGACTGCTTGAGCCCAGGAGTTGGAGACCAGCCTGGGCAACATAGTGGGACCCCGTTTCTACAAAACGTTTAAAGAAAAAAAAAAAGAAAACAGCCTGAGTGACAGGTGAAACAGTGTCTCAAAAAAAATTTTTAATAGTAAATAATAATAATGAAACACTCATCTAATCACTGAATAAACACTTATGAAAGCATTATTTGTAATATTTTAGATAAGATATTATAAGAGTTAGGGATACATATCTGCTTCCAAGCAGCTTTCAATCCAAGAAGTACTCTAAGACAGAAGTTAGAAGAATATGGCGACCCTACCCATATTCCCTTGTCTCCCCTTACCGGCTTCCTGCATACCAGCTACATGCACACTTGCAACCACCCCCAGCCTCTGTAGCTCCTTGTCCCAAAGCTGCCCGCAGATTGCCAAAACTGCTTTGCCTACACCCACAGAGATGAGAAAGTGCAAAGAGTTCATGTCACCTTCCTGATATCAGCCCATAGCACTGACTAACAGGGGTAGGGAGGTACAAACACTCTATTCCCCTGGCTTCCTAAGTGGGAATCTAAGGTGAGCCTCAGACTATCTGCAGAGCTACCCTGCAGGACTGAGTTACATTACACCCACCTCCTTCTGGGATTTTACAGGGTCTCTCACCATTGCTTGGCTTCCTACCATTCCATATATAATTACCAACTCTGCTATTGTTTTTTCCTAGGAACACTTCCTAGTCTATCATTTTTACATGAATTATCTCAGGGTCAGCTTCTGAAGGAAGATAACTATTATTAGTATTAATTCTGTTATAACTAAGAGTGACTGAAAATAATACAAAGATGAGGAGTCAGTTTCTTTAAAAAGTTGTACAAAGTAGTACAGGAGTTCAAAAAAGAAACTAATAGTATCAGGATCAGTGTAGGATTCCTAGAGCAAGTATAGCAAAGTTAAGGGAAATCAGGTTGCCAAAATCTCCAAAGGTCTTGAGTGTCAAGAAAATGGGCTTATAGCTTATTCAATAGAAAATGGGAAATTATTGAAAGGTTTTCAGTAGGGGGGACCATGTCATATGATTCTAAAAGTTCAGCTAAAATAATTTGGCAGAAATACTACTAAGTCCTAGAGCTTTTCTATTCTTTGTGGATATACTAGTGGGACCTCTTCAAAACTGGCAGACATGCTGTGTTTTTCAGCTCTTTCTCTCCAAATCTGAATGCTGGTATGAAATATATTAAAGAAATAGGACCAATTACCCAGAATTCTGTCTATTTTAAAGTACGGGCACACACTGAAAGAGAGCACACACCCTCTGGCTCAGTCAAATCATCCCCAGTCGTTAAATAGGCTGTGACAGTGTTTAGTCTGCTCTCACGCTGCCATAATGAACTGGCTGACATTGGGTAAATTGTAAAGGAAGGAAGTTTAACTGACTCACAGTTCTACAGGGCTGAGGAGACCTCAGTAAACTTACAATTGTGGTATAAGGGGAAGCAAATACGTCCACGGCCGCAGGAGGGAGAAATTCTAAGCAAAGGGGGAAAAGTCCCTTATAAAACCATCAGCTCTTGTGAGAACTCACTCAGTATTAGGAAAACAGCATGAGGGTAACCATCTCCATGATCCAATTACCTCCTACTAGGTCCCTCCCATGACACACAGGGATTATGAGAACTACAATTCGAGATGAGATTTGAGTGGGGACACAGCTAAACTGTATCAGATAGCATGCAAATATTCACACTTTAGAATCATAGTGTAGATGGTTATGGTCTACAGATTCTTCATTCCTTCATGTTTGGTCTCTCATTAGTTGGTATGGCTACTTATCAATTCAAGCTCTAGGCTCCAGCACAGGCTTCTAAAGCATCTCTTGTCTTTCAGCCAAAAGATAACAGTAAATTCATATGGTTTAATCACTATAGTGTCATACTCTTTGAGGAAGTATTTCCACTTTCATCTCTAACAGTGTCCAACTTTCTGATGGCTATTTGATGAAGAATATCTCCTATTTAATTCCTAGCTACAGATAGCATTCATTTCTCTAGGAGCTAGAATGTTGCTGCTTGATATATAAAAGTGCTCTTGTTTGAAATACTTGACATTTAAACCAACAATTCTCACCCTGACTACACAGTGGATCCTAAGCAGAGATTTAAAGACACAAGATTCTCAAGCTCCATCCCATCCCAATTACCCAGGCCATCATATTTTTTAAAAGTTCTTTAGATAATTATAAACTGAATCCAGTATAAAGTCTCACCACTTCAGACTGATAGTTCTGGATTTGAGATATATCAATTTTAACATTAAAATGGGAAGTTTTCGGTAACATTTGGCCAACTGTTAAAAACAAAGATACATGTATATCATTTTTATATGTTTATGAGTTATTCTCACAAATGTAATCCTCATGAGACAAAGCTGGTATTATTTTAATCATTAAAAAAAGGGAAATATATCCTTCAAACGTTATGTAATACACTCAAGTTCATACAATAATAAGCAGCAGAACCAAGACATCCATCTTCTATTTCTTCTTTTTTTTCCCCAAAGGTCTCAGAACACCAGTTTTCTAATTCCAAGCAGAAAGTTCCATCCATCAGGATAAATGCCACTTGGTTTGATGAATCGAAATATAGCATCCTTCAGATCCCTTCGCTGAAGAACACGGTTATTTGTGTACATTACTTTTTCTGTTTGGCTGAAAGGTTTAGTATGAGCTAAGGAAAATGAAGCCATTACCACTATAAGAACTAATCCCTTTCTGACATCTTTCAGGATATTGGCGCTGCATATATTCAGAATCACCCAAAGTCAGCTTGTGATAAAAATGCCTTCAAAATGGCAAAATATGTTTCATTTGGTACATGTTCGTTAAAAATATACACGTCTTCACTATGGTGGATATGTATTATTGATAGATAACACAGGCTGATTTAGGAAGAGATATAAGCACACTTGGAACTTATTAGCCTTTCAGCCAAGATATAAAATTCTGAAATAAAAGTGTATTCCTGGTCAACAATTTTCCTCAGCTCTTAGCCACCTTACAAAGTAGGAACACGCCATAAGGACACGTTCATCCTTGTATCGCCATCTCCAGTACAGTGCCTGGAATAGAGTGGGCATTCACTTGATATTTGTTAGTGAAAGAAATAAGAGACACGTGTGTGTGTGTGTGTGTGTGTGTGTGTGTGTGTGTGTGTGTGTGCTGGGGGGCAGCAGGTGGTAATAGAATGGAAATGCCTTTAGAAAAGATAATTCCGACAGTACTCCTCATTAACACCCTCATCAGGAAGCCTGGGTTTGAAGAATAATTGAAATGACAGAAAGAAGACCATGTGCAAATATTGCTTGCTATTTCTTTTCTCTGAAGAATTTTACTGTTCTCACATTCTCTATCAACCTACTTGATGCAATGTTGCTATAAAAATTATTTTTTCTTCCTTTTAACATCCCACTTAGTTCATCACAACTGAGATAATATCACCTCTAAAATGCAAAACATCAACCGCAAAGAATAAGAAGTCTAACCAACAGATGTTCACAAATTAGACTAGCCAATTTCAAGAAATACCCATGGGGTAGAGATTTTAAATAAAACTAGCCCATAGCTATTTGCATCTCTCCTTTATTTGGATCAATGTCCTGGTAAGATGAGAAGCAAGATTGGGGTTCAATTTATAAGAACTGAAGCAAAAGCAGTGCCTATATGGAGTGGCAGGAGGGGGAGAAAAATCCTTAGCCTATGAGGACTTGACTAAATAAGCAAGGAAAGCCATTCATTCAGGACAGCTTCCCAACCTTTCCTACCACATCGAGGCTGACACACACCTAGAAATGACAGGGTTGAAAGCCTAAGAACACCTCAGCATATACACACTGAGTGCTGTTCCAAGTTTAACACTTTAATAGGGCAAAAATAATAGCTCCTGCATGGTTAGAGAAATAAGATGCATATAAAACATTCGTGTAAAAATGTAAGCTTCCGAAAGCATTGTTACAAAATTAGAATGGGTAGAATTCAAAGAAAAGAGAGACTGGGATGAGTCAGAGAGACCTGGTAAAATGTTCACATAAGAAAAATGTAAAGAGTATTTAAAGAGGCAGGAAGAAAAAGAAGGGAAGTAATTTGTGTATATATTAGATGAATAATAGAAACCCGGATTTCCTACAACTTTGTCCAACTGGCATTTTCACTTGAAACCCTTTAGCATCACTGATCTTGGTCTCCTAGGAGTGATGACTGTATACCTTATACTTCTGGTAGTTACAGAGAGTTATACTTCTGGTATTACCAGAGTTATACTTCTGGTAGTTACTTCTGGTATCCATGGGAGATTAGTTCCAAGACCTGCTGTGTATACCAAAATCTATGCACACTCATTCAAGTCCTAGAGTCAAACCTATAAAACCCGCATATACAAAAGTCAGCCAGCCTTATCACATGGATTTCACATCCAGAAAATACTGTACTATCAGTCCACATTTGGTTGAAAATATCTGCATATGAGTGGAACCACACAGTTCAAATTTGTCTTGTTCATGGGTCAACTGTATAATAAAAATCATAAAAATGAAGAAAAGCCAAATTATGCAATTCGCTTGAGACAACACAGGATTTGGTATAAGTATAAAAGGAAAACACATCACATAAGCAAAAATTGTTAAAACTCTTCTTCTTATGTCACTTTTGTATTATTCTTTTTGATGACTGTATGTCTACTTATGACTGTATGTCTACTTATGAAATGTTTGAAAGTTACTACCTTTTATTTATGTCAAAAGACTTGTGAGCTATTTGTATTCTATGCCTGTTTAAACTATTGCAGATGACTGAATTCTTCCTATTACTGAATTATTCTGTGTCATAGAAGATATCATATTTGGTAGTATTTGTACTCTAATACAAAAGCGTTGCAAGCTACTGGCAAATAGAAGTACATATATTCATTTACTGCAAGTGTATAAACCTATAATCAGAATATTCCACTTCAACATCTATTTCTCTCTAAAATCTAAAATGACCCCTCGAAAACTCAAAAGACTTTTCTTCTCAGGTTACATTACATTCTTTTGTTCAATATTCCCTCTGTCACTCAAACTAAGTCATCTTGTTTGGCTTTACTTGTTGAGATTTAGCCATAGCAAATATCCTCAAATTATTCTAAATTGGAATAAATCTTGATGAAAGTATATTCTAATACTGACCATATAAATATTGTCACCATATGGTGATGCAGAAGGAGCACAAAATTGCATCTCGAGAATTATCACATCTGTTAGCCATGTACAGCAATATTTAAATCAGATGATCTCTTTTCTCAATTCCAGTATTAAAATGATGTGATGTTAGTGTGTGATGAATAAATAGATAACCTCTGCCATCAATTTGGATTGGTTACTTTCTCCAGACAATAACATTCTTAAAGAAGCACATATGTATCCATGTGGTATGATTAGGCTCTGCCTCCTCTTCCTCATAGATCTGTCCTGGTATGAACTGAAGCCTAGATGTCCTGAAAGTTATTTCATCTGGTGAGAAAACACGCACACATGTTACCAAGCCATCATTAAGGGGAGTCAGGTTACAGAGATTTGGTGGAAACCAGCAGTTAAATGGGATGTGAGCAACAGAGGCAGGGAGTGGAAGGAAATAAACCTACAAAAGTGGGGTTCAATATCTACATTCCAATACCTGAAAAATGTTAGTGAAAAGAAGGTAAAACTAATTCCTCTCTCATAATCTATGCTTTAGCTAAACACTGACATTTTCAAATACTCTGTATGTCTGGTTCCCTCTGCCAGAATCACTTTCCTCCCAACTCTTATCTAACTCCTTTTTATCTTTAGGATACAGTTTGGGTTCAGAGAATGATACTGCAAAGTATGGCACTTTGGTACGCTGACTGCTTTGAATTAAAGGAGAACCAAAGTTTCTCCGATCTTCTCCTGCCCTCCTGTCTCTCACCCGTCTTTCTCCCTGAAAAGGGCAGGGCAGAGGCCTTCTCAGAAGTTCTCTTACCTACCTTACAACATAACCTCCAAAGGAGAATTTATCTGTCATTTTGTCATTAATCCTCTCCATGGGAATCTCATGAACCAGGGAAGACTTTATCACAGGAGCAGAGACCAAGGTCAAACTCATGTCTGGACTTTGTCACAGGCTATCACCTTACTCTTCTGAGGGTTGCTCCTAGACAACTTTTATTACTTGAGAGACTTTAGCTGCATCACAAGACAACCTTTATTCACCCATACATTTCCCCCATTACCTTCCCATAAGTTGTGTCACCACCATCCATCAGAAGCCCCAGATCCCAGATGCCCATTCTTTCTGTAGCTCTGATGCTATATAAATTTCAACCATCTTACCCTTTCTCAAGTCTATTTCATGGTGATAAGAACAGGACACAGGGAATACTGGGTAGAAAAGGGCGAGATCCCTGGTGAGGGCTCCACCCTCAAGCCTGAACCACAACCCTAAATAAGAACATGCAATCCTGTTTTCCAAACCAAAAGCTGCCTTTTCCAAAACCACCCTGGCTCTCCACACCCCTAACCCTGTACCCATAAAAACCCCAAGCTCCACTGGCAGAGGAGCAGAATGGCTCAGCAGAGAAGGAGAGAAGAAGCATCTCAACATTGAGAGAAGAGGTAGCTGGACACTGGGGACTATGATTTGTCCCTGGCCAAACTCCAGGGGAAGATTGTCTTCTCACTCCATCCTCTTTCTAGCTCCCCATTCCACTGAAAGTCCCTGCCATTGCTCAATAAACCTCTCTGCATACAACACCCTTCAATTCATTCATATGACCTGATTCTTCCTGGATTCTGGACGAGAATTCAGGATACACTGTGTGTGAGAACCCAAAAAAGCTGTCACACTGACTCTTCACTGAGTGTTTAACACTTAAGCTGTCCGCGGCAGCAAAGCTAAAAGAGCACTGTTTGTACTACACACCCTCTACAGCCCCAGAGATTGCGGGCAACCCTGAGACGTTGTCTCAGGCCGGTACAAAGTTTATTCCTGCCAGTGCCCAAAGGCACTTGCCCCGGCTCCTGTACTTGCTCACCTGTGTACTCTCCATCCCACAATGTGTTTGAGTGGCCAAGTAAATCAGCCACTCTGTTGCAAGTCCCCCAAGGGGGTCAAGGGAACTCTCCCATCTCAGTGGGACTCCTCTATGTATATGCTTGTAATTAAAAGGTTTTTTCCTCCTGTTAAACTGTCTTCTGTCAGTTTATTTCATGGACTTAATTATCAAACTTTCAGAGGATAGAGAGAAAGTTTTCCCTCCCCTATAAAACAAAATAAATATCAGTTTCTTCTGGAAGTTTTGTTCAACCACTCATGTCAAGGTTGATTATACAACCATTTTGTTATATCATCCTGTTACCACTTCCCCATTTTAGCACTTAGCATATTGCATTGGCATTATCTATTTATTTAGGTCTAGTCTACATTGGATAGTGATCACAAAAATAAATTAGCTAGTTGGCTGTTAGTTCAGGCAAGTAAGACACTAATGTCATATCAGGAAAGATATCTGGAGCATATAAATCCGCATTTCTTTTTCACAGTTGTGGTTTTTGACTCCAGCACAGTGACTGGACAACAAGAGTACCATAAGTATTTGTTATCTGAATAAGGAAAAACCTGTGTCCAGAGAAATCAGTAAACCAAGGTATGTATTATAGCATTGAGTAGATACGACCAGGATCTAGTACCTTGAGCTCACATAAGGAATTGGACCAGATAAGAGGAAGGATGCTCACTCCTAGAGCTTGAGTAGAAATTCAGAGAAAAAAACTACACACAGAGAGAAAACATTAACTAGCATGGGGTCTTTAGCTCTTCCTAGTTTCAGAACAATAATGATATCATAGCACTGAGCAGAACTAATCCTCTAAGCGGAGGTTAAATTAGGGGGAAAAAAACATAGATAAGAATCAAATCAGTCACCACTGCCAAAGATTCCAGTGGCTGAAGTTGTAAAGTTCTTAAGTGCAACAGGTTATATCAATCTTAGTATTTATAGACTGTTATGGACTAAATGGTTGTGTCTCTCTAAGAATCAAACGTTGAAGTCCTAAACTTCAATGTGATTATATTTGTATATAGGGTCTTGGAGGAGTTGTAAAGATTAAACAAGGTCATAAGGATAGGGCCCTAATCTGATAGGTCTAGTATCCCTATAAGAAAAGAAAGAGACATGAGAGCGCTCTCTCTCCACCATGTAAGGACACTGAGAAGGTACCCATCCGCAAGCCAGGAAGAGAGCACTCACTAGGAACTCATCTAGCACTTTGATCTTGGATTTCTCAGCTGCCACATTGTGAGAAATAAACGTCTGTTGTTTAAGCCACCCAGGGTGTGGTATTTTGTTTTGGTAGCCCAAGCAGAGACTAATACATGCAACACATTTATTTTTTTGTATAATGTCTCCAAATAATTTGAATAACTTGTTAGCAATATTTTACCCCCTTGGAGCTAGGGAAACAGAAAAAATCAGATGTCTACTGATGTTGGCAGACAGATAATCCTAAAATCACAAGCTATTTAAACCTTCCACTTCATCTACTATGGAATTTTCCTATTATCTACTAACAGAATCCAACAGTTTAGTAGTGCATAAAATGGAGCTCTCAACGTGACTTTCAAAAACCATCCTACATCTGTTATCCTGTAAGTCATCCTATAGTTGCTTCCAAATACGTATGACTGACAAGGTTATACAATAACTGATCCAAGAAAACTCAAGCCACAGTCTCGATGATACAGGATCCCTTGACTATTGCTACTATTGGCTTTGTTGCTTTTCCTTTTGCTGATGAAAATGATTGAAATGTTTTAAAAATCCATAGCAGCCTGGATGTTGAGGGTTACGTAGGGCTGTCTCAGCAGCTATTAAAGTGAAGTGGTTTCTGTGACTATTGGTTGCATTACTGTCTTCAGGAGACAGGGAGCCCAACCCAGAATGTCGTATCTGGGAAACTTCCTTAGACTGTGTACAGACTTCCTGTTGATGATGGATGGATGTCATAAAAGAAAGTTATAAGGTGTAAATTACCATCACAACTGAATATGTCCTCTCAGTGATAAGGGCAGTGGTCTGCTTTGTTTTCAAAGGGACAGTAATGGATAGTGTTACAAAGCAGGTCACTTCATTCAGCCTTATGTCTCCATATTTAATTATTATGCCCTGAAAACACATATACTATATCCTGACGTCCCACGATTGTAACAACGACTATAGATATTAGGCCATTTTACTTTGGACCTCATCCAAGAAAACAGAATTAAGAATATGTCAAGTGTTTTTTAGGAGTTGTTCGTACTTACAGATTGGTCCCAATGAGAGAGCTATGTTAAAGTTCCCTAAGATACGGTACAAAAGAAAAAAGAATAAGTCTAAGCTTCTTGTTGCTCTTCTTCTATTTGTGTACATATAGCACCCTATTCACACTTTGCAGACTAGGCAATTTTTTTAGTGCAGTTATAGAAGAACACTTGTGCCATAGTTCCAAAGTACTTGAGTTTGGAAATTTGTATCAGATTTACATTGCACACAGGGGAAAGAAATCCCACTGGTTTGCAACCTTAAGCAATTGTGAAATGGAAAGAAAAGTAATAATTCTAATGATCTCAAACAATTCATTTTCCTTTTACACAAAGCTGTAAAATTCTATCTACAATACTTTGAAAAGTTTTCTAACAGTACTAGAAGAAACATATATAAGTAGTATACAAATTATAAAATCATCAAATGTAATTATTAAAGGTGTTCTTTCTACCACATACTAATCCCAGGAAATGTACTCTTGTACAATTTTCTGCTTTTTGATCCCCAAAGCCAGAGTACATTTTGGATACTCAATAAAAACTGAGTAAGCGTTTTCATTTTTCTAAGAACTAAAATGCTTGTGTATTTCAAGACAGGACGAGTACCTCAAAAAGATCTCAGATGTTTGACAACATGACTATTTTATCCTTTCAGAATTTTTTGCAAAACTCACATAAGCAATTACTTGAAATCATAAAAAAAACAAGTTAAAAATTATTGTTTTTCTTCAGTGTAAATCAGAAAAATAATCAGATTAGAAAATAAGTTTTCCTTTAATCTAACATCTCTTTAGGTACAAATATGTGAGTTTTTACTTATACTTTTGCAAACTTAAAAATCACATCTAATTAAAAGAAAAAAACTGTGTTTTATTTTTTTCCTAAGGTTATATAATTTTTTAGCACAAGGGATATAAATTTATACATAAATCTTCTGAATATGACTTTTATAGTTTAAAAAAGTAAATGTTTTTAGAACATCATATAATCATATTCAATGAATACAAAATTTGCCTAAATACTTTGTATAATAATAGTGAATAC